CGCTGGAATGTGGAAAGGTCCCCAGACACACAGGATGGAGGGTCAAGGGTCAACATCTGGATGTGGGTGAGAGTAGATGGACCTGCGTTTGTTTGTAGAGGGGAGAGGCAAACAGAGCCCTGAGGAGAAACCAGAACAGGAGCCAAACCCAGTTATACCTGTGATTTCCCCCTATAATACAGCCCTGGTGTGATAAGTTGAAGTGGAGTTTAATTTGGCTGAGCGGGTGCCCTTTATGAGTCTGGTATGTGTTTGTTTATCTGCTTTAGATCCTTTCCTACATATCTGCCCCAATTCATGTCTATCTACTGGTGAATGAAGGCCTGTAGTGCCCCCAAAATACCCTTCTTTTCAAAATGCCTTAGGAAGTTAGCTCTCTTTTTATCAGGAAATTTCTATTGAAATCGTCACTGAAATAAAAGATCCTTTTCCCCAAAAAACATTGTACAAGTGTGCCAATCATATTTACATGCATCTTATGAGGAGTTTTATGCATGAACTCAAATAACTAAAAAAATTACATATTGCTGCTTAGGGAGTCATAAATATTTGGAGTATAACAGAACCAGAATTATATCTGATTTCAACTCTCGAGCACAGTTTAAGGATACAAATGTGTTCATATCAATTTTGTAATCAATCACATCTGCTCTCATTTAATGATGTTGTCCTGATTCTAATCAGCTTATGAATTACACGTCAGCCAAAGCTGGTCGTTTCTTCCTGCTTTGGCTGCAGCTGCTTTTTCCACTTTGATAGAATTAGAGGCCATGATTGGTCATCTGATGTCTGCTCCACCCTGCACGCGCACATGTCCAGAGTCCCAAACACTGGCTGACTTCTCCAGTCAATAAGCAGGATTGTAAAAAACCTCCATCTCCATTGCTAGTGCTAGTCAAACCATGTTACCGAAAAGTAACTTGGAACTAAAATACAAACTTGTCAAATCTTTACAATGTGTAATAATACGAACCAATGTGCAGATTTCTTCCTAAAATACTCTGATTGTAATGTCATTAGAAGCCTGTGAGCTGTAACATGAACAGAACCTGTAAACAAGCCGCACGTAAATTAGATGGGCGTCGTTTTTTTTTGTGCACGTTCCCTGACCCGTGCCTAATTGATGAATACTGACATGTTTCAGGCCGCCTCTGAAACGCGTGCGAGGATGTGTTTGGCCGTTTACGGCATGCACGGTGTAAACACAGACTGGGTCCGTCATCAGGGCACCAGACAGGAGGTCAACACGGCTGTACACAACTGTCAAACAGACACTTAACCAGTCAAATGAGCTGATAAACACGCGGTCAAGCATCAGGGAAGAAGATGGATTGTCCAGTCAACAAGTTAATCTGACGGGCAGCCAGTGAATCAGGCCCCCGGTGAGCACGTTAGTCCCACATGACTGACAGGAAGTGGCACTTAGTGTGGACTTAGTTTTCGTTAGTGTTTGTGGATTTTATAACTCAGATCAGGTTATCTGTGTCCAGCTTTCTTTGGTTGACCAATAGGGTTGTTTGAGTTGTTGCTAGAAACTCGGTCTGTGGTTTTGAATATCGCTTTGTTATCCGAAGAAGCGTGTTTTCTTTCTCAGGCACACGCTGCGGGACGGAGATGGAAATGCCTTGTCAGTGAGCACTTATTTCAAATATTTATACTCACAAATAACACAAGTACAGAGCAAGACGAACACCAGGCCAATATTTAGAAGTGGAAAGCAAAAGAAAAACAACTCTTTCAAAATGGGATTTAAAACAAGAGACCAGCGCACAGAACACTAACACCAAAATAAACAAAAGCATATTTTGGAGCGTGGCAGACTAATTTTGGAGAAGGACAGACCCCTAAATCCAGATGTAAAATAAAGACAGAAGCAGAAAGAATGCATGAAGAAATCATTCTCTACAAAACAAAAGATGAGTGACTCCTACTTGAAATGGCTACGGAAAGAAACTGAAACCAAAAAACTGCTTCAAATTTCCTAAATAAAATCGAATAAAAACAAAAATACAAAAATGTTGGTACTGGGAGATGTCACGACGGCATCAACAGTGAGGATTTGAGGATGACTGTGTGAAAACAAGCAGAACAAACACTGGAACTGATTAATGAGGGACTGTAGCCCTGAGTGACTGATTGAAAGCAGGTGAGAGCACAACCGCAAAGCAAAGCACAACTCAGGACAACCACTGAGAAAGAACAAGTGGAAACTGAACTAAAGGAAAGATGGAGACTCCTGCTGACCCCATTTTCCTACAACTCCTACAATTACTGTTCCTAGTCCTATTGCTATTATTACTGCTACCATGATCTAACATTACTATCTGAACCATTTTTCATCCAGTCTATGTGTTAGTTTGTAGGCTGCCTCCCCCTGTTCCCTCTGTCCTACTCTCCCTCCCTCTTTCTTTCTCTCTCTCACCCCCAACCGCCCCCCCACCCTGAGCCATGGTTCTGCTCCAGGTTTCTGCCTGTTAAAAGGAAGTTTTTCCTTGCGTGTGTCGCCTAGTGCTTGCTCTTGGTGGGAATTGTTGGGTTTCTGTAAATAACTTCAGATTAGAGGTCTTACCTGCTCTGGTTGGAAATCGCTGTGAGATAACAGTTGTTGGGATTTGGCGTTATATAAATAAAATCTAAATTGACTTGAACAAGACAAACAAACAAAACTGATGAATGAGCAATTAAAAGATAAGACTCATCAAAACTCAACGAATAGAAAATTATCATTCAAGCAGAATACAATTAAGAACAGGCAATAAACAAACTAATATAAACCTTAGATCCGAGCAGGAGGTAATGCTAGAAGACGGTGACAGGTTACCATGGCAGCAAGCACAGGTCACGGAAAGCATTCGACAAAAGATGACACTGCTGTCTCAAAACGCGGTGCTTAACATTCTGTGTCAGTTTGGAAGGAAAATCGATGCTTTAATAAAAGAGTGTCACTTGTAGTGTCTGTTTGTGTTAGTTTAACAATGCTCCCAATCTGAAAACCGCATCCGGAGACAGACAAAAATGCGAACATACTGTCAGAAAACAGCCAAACCCCAGACTGGAGCTAGGTTTTGGTGCATTCACGAGGTTTTTCGATGGAAAATAAAACACCAAAAGTAAAACCCTTACCCTTAACTTAAAAAGGCATCTGTGTTTGCGCCCCGTGGAGCCCTCTTGAACTCAGTCCACTCCGGAATCTTCTGTCCCGCCGGGCCGGGCCCGCTCTGAGTTCCAACGCGCTGATGTCTACTGTAACATTCAGGGGACTTACGAAACAAAAGGTTAGGTCCCCTGAATGGTCCAGTGTCAAGGATTACTTCTCACACGAATTTCTCCAACAAAAGCGCCCATTGTTCCCCAGCGGGCCCTCAAATTAGCAGCGGGAGCGAATGCACGCTTAACCGGGCCTGACAGCACAAGCACTCTCCTGGCCTCCCAAGATTTCCCCTCTCCAACTTCTAATCTCTAAAGACATTAAAGGACCCTGTTTAAAAAAATGAATTTGAAAAAGAAATCCAATCGATGTCCTTCAGGGACACTAAATAGATTATTATGAATATGAATTCAACTCTCCGTAATCTAGTTAAAAGTGGGCCCCGGGTCTGGGGCCGGATTAGGCCGCAACACACACAACATCTGTCAGAGAAGACTGGTTATTTTAGCTTGTTTCACAGCTAAAGAAGGCGTTTTTGTTGTGTTCTCCTTCTTATCAGGAGCAAATAACTGTTTTTAAGGAGTTGTCTGGCTGTTTCGACTCGTTTTCTATTAAAACCCATGATGTGATTTGTTTGTGTCAAGTTACTGAAAGTGAAGTGTGGGCTTTCCTGTTGGGGCTTGCTAAATTAAACTACCTCAGGTAAATAGTTCAAGGAGGGTTTTGAAAATTCAAATATTGAACAGCAGAGCTATCTGGTTTACCAAAAGGAACCTTTTAAACCTAATCTTAAAGGCAGAGAATAAAAGTCGACACACCACCATCTTTATGATATCAGATTAAATTCTGTGCTAATTCCTTTATTTTCCTTCCTTCTTGATTGTTTGGTGAGTGGGAGAACTGGTCTTTAAGGAGAACTGGTCATCCATATGGCCATCCCCGCTCCAGGACCTCATAGGACCTAACCAAATCCTTGGCCCAGCCCTCCTAAAACCCCACCACAAGCAGGTTTCCAGCCAATGAAAATTGGGAGCTGGAGATGTTTGCTCACAGGATTCAAGTTGTGAGAGGTTGGGAAACAATCAGGGGTGGAGGACAAGCGTAACTTAAGGGGCAAACCAATATTAACAAAAGAGGTGGCCCCAGTCTTAGAATATTGTGATCACAGAGACACACAACCACACACACTCATTCCAAAATAACTGCAGTTCTTGTATCATTGTGTCGTTTAACTAATAAAATAAGGAGTTGTCCAAAACATGGATGTGTTTGGACAGAGGAAAGAACATGCAAACTCCACACCGAAAGTTCCTGGTCCCTCCGGGGACTTCAACCGGGAACCTTCTTGCTCTGAAGCGACCACCATACTGCCCCACTAGGAAATAATCTTATCAAGTGGACACATTTTTTGGAGGTACAATGACATGAAATGTTTACCTCAGGCTGCAAACAAACTGGAAGTACATCAAAACTTTGTCTCGTTCAGACGCAGCTTTTATTTTGACGGTGGATTCGCAACACTTCCGGTTCTAACAGCTGACAACCTGACGGAGCTGCTCGTGCCTCCGGGCGTTGGGGGGGTTGAGAGAGGAGGAGGAGGAGGAGGAAGAGAAAAAAAGCTCTCCGTCTCTCCAGTCTCACTGCAGATCGCGCGTTTGCGTCGGGGCTCGCGGAGGAAGAAACGCAGCCGGAGTTGCGGGGATTCTCCTGGATAACACAAGAAAAAACCAAACAAACGCACGCTCGTGCCATTTAACACCAGCTGCGCGCGAGTGTGCGCGCGCCCCGCTCGCGACTCCCGGCCGAGCCGGGCATGTAGTTTTTTTGGGGGGGCCGTGTTTTCCTGGGAAAGGACGCGCAGAAAAGCGGCCGGACTAAGTTGTGCGCGCGTGGGAACGCGGTCGGGCTGAACTTGAGCGGCTCGAGGCGTCGCTCCGGCTCGCGGGCGCGTCGTGCACGCTTCGTGCACGCAGCAGGATGCCAATCTGGGAACTTTTCCACAGCTGGCGACGCGCAACGCGAGTCTGAGCCCCCCGGTTTGGAACATTATCTGGAGGAATATAGCCAGAAGAAGGCGGATTTTCATTGAACACCCGCAAAGAAAAAGAAGAAAAAGGTATGTGGAGTTGCCTTAAGAGTTTTCATGTTTCCAAAAAAAGCGCAGAAGGATTTGGGGAGGTCCACAGCTCGGTGGCGCACAGAAAACAGAAATAAATTTGCGATAACGCAGAGCTAAAACGACCTGATCCGGATCCTGTCGGTTCTTAAACGTACTCCGGGTCACAGGGAGTGGGGGTGGGGGGGGTGGAGGGGGGGTGGGTGTCAGGGGACTAATCAATACTCTGAACATCTGGAGCCCCAGCTTGTGGGCCGATCCCGTGGAGCGACTTAATGTTTCTCCAGACTAAAATGACTTCTTCCAGGGGTTAACTCCGCTCAATGGAAATGACAACAGCTGCACGAAGCCATTATCTTTTATTGATTCTCCCCCATTAATGCCACTCCGATCCCTGGGAGGGGTAAAGGGAAGCTCGGAGAGGGATGGTGGAACTCGACATCATACATTCAGGGGGTGCTGTTCTGGGGTAAAAAAAAACCGAACAAACAAACAAACAAAAAAACAAACATCTGTTTTGTGATGGCCGTATTGATCATTTAACTGTCACAGCTTGGTAACGATTTGAGCCTGTTTGGCTTCAAAGGTCATTTTAAAGCCTCACACGTGTTGATCTTTGGAAATGCCTCGGCCTGGGAGCACCGCTGTACATGATTGAGAGGTAATTGGCCATGGTGGGGGTTAATGGAGTAGAAGGGCCTCTGAGGCTCTAAAACCGTTTTGGCTCGGTTCCTCTCCTGTTGTGACTGCCCTCCACGTGGTCTCAAGGCCGTTGGACCACCCCCCCCTCCTTTTGACAAACACCTGGGTCTGTGTGACAGCACAAAGTCCAGGTGTCCAGCTGTGTTGGTTGGTCAGTAGAGGCCGGAGAAGGCCCCCTCTGAGTGGACCTGCCCCGGGGCAGAGGGTTCACTCTGGAGACTCAACCGACGGCATTTTTCACACTCCTCAGGCCTCTGCTGGAGGCTGCCGGTTCAGATTTTGGTTGTAGTTGAACGTTCAACCCGATTCTTGTAAGTAAATGCAAATGTGAAATGTCGTCTCGGCCGTTTGGACTTTTTCGAAAAAGTTTTGAACCTCTCCTGACATCTCCTTTCTGGTTTCTTCGAGCTGGGCTTTCCCCCTAAATTGACGGTTCTGTCAAATTAGGCTTGGCAGGATGAAATGTAGAGGCTGGAGCTTTTCTTCTCCTCGTCAGGTTTTCCAGATTTAGACATTTTGGAGTGGCTTTCCAACATTCTGCCCGTCATGTTGGTAGTTTGACAGAAACTCTCACATTTAGAATTAGAAGTGGTGGTTAAAGAGACGCCTTGACCTGAGAGGAACCTTAAATCTGACCCTCTGTAAATGTAACCCTGTTCTTAATATGGAGGAAATGGATCTTTGAATTTATACTCAAACTTCTAGCCTGAGTTTGTTTGTTTTTTTAAATGTGCTGAACAGGAAAAAAAGCGGGTAAAGGGAGCTTTAAAAGGAGTGGCTGAATCATGTTTGGGAAGGGCGCCACAAAATAACTCCCTGAATTGCTTTATGTAGCTATTTTTTAGAAATCACCCCCCCCCCCTTTTTCTTTAGAAATGCTTCCTGTCTGTGGTTCTTCCTTTACATTTCTGAAGTTTTCGAATGGACTTCCAGAAACTGGTTTCAGTGGAATGCAGCAGGTGGTTGAGTAACTGCTACTGTCTGTGTGTGTGTATGTACGTGTGTGTGTGTGTGTGTGCGTGTGTGTGTGCATGCTGGAGGTTGTGGAGGCGGGGCCAACCGTAAACACCGTCTCACCCTCATATGGGCGCCGAGTCACTGAGTTATCTGAGGCGTGGAGGGAAAATAACACGCCGATCACGTGACCTGTTTGAATTTTTTATTTAAGGTTGATTCATTCTTGTTTAAAATTCTGAAGAAGCGGAAAAGAAAAAAAAATCCAAATGAGTTATTAATTAGGAGTTTGGAATTTCCTGGTGGATGGTTAGCTGTGTGCTTGTTAGCCCAAGCTGGGAATCACATTTTCAGAGCTCCTGGTAAAAGCAGATGCAGATTTCCACTTTTGAAAAGCCCGATCGGCCCTTTCAGACGTGCTTTAGACGCCACGTCCAAACATATCCGAACCTTTCCGGCCCATTCTGTGCTCGGTGACAGCATTTGACAGCAGCCCAGAGGTGGCTGCATTCACTCCCTTTGTCCTTATTACCGGGTTCTGATTTCCAAAAGCCCAAAGCAGCACTTTCTCTCAAAGAAAAAATGTCATTCTTAAGAAACAAAATGGAAATCAGACAGGCAGAAGTACATTTAAGTCTGTGCTTGTCAATTTTATTCAGTATTTTTTTTCGATAAAGTGCCTTCCCAGAGGAGGGTTGTGGAGGATAACGGGCTGGATTAGTCTTCAGCTGCTTCTGTACGTCTGGAAAGTTCAGTTTTCTTTTTCAGTTTGTTTGTTTCTGAACATATAGCTTCATGCAAGTCTGCTTCAGTGAAGCTTGAGTACATGTGGAGGAGCTTTAAGGGGAAATGATGGTCTGCTTTGAGTACAGAGGGGTGAGCAGAGATGGAACGGATACGGGAAAGAGGCCTCTTTTCTGAAAGAAACCCAGTTTCAAGTTATTCCCAGATCGATGCATTGTTCAAGCACACATCTGGATTGATACAGCTGTATGGCTCAGTCCTGGTCCGGACTTTAGTGGGAATCCTTTCCTTTCTTTCCGTAACTGGTAGCGGACGGTCACTGTTGGTGCAGCGGGATGTCGGATTTCCAGGTTTTAATTTGGGATGTTGACAGCGGGACGCCGGGGCTCAAACGGTCCGGAACAGCTGGACGCCGCTGAATGTCTGCTGATCACCGCACATCTGGCCGCGGCGCACAGCTGGCCGCGGCGCTCTGCCGCTCGCGCCCCGAAGATCCGCCGGATAAAAAAAAAAAGTCGAGGAAAAAGGGGCTTATTTTTTTGCAGCAGAGCTCTTTGTGGTTGTCTGTTGACTGTCTTGATTACTTTGGTTGTTTTTGTTCACAGACATCTGCGGCGCGTTTAGAGGGATAAAGAAGCCCAGAAGTTCCCCGCAAAACTCGTTAGGGAGCGCCTGAAAAAGGCTTCTAATGCGCGCCTCCCGGAACAATGCCGCCGTTTTTAGCCCGGAGCCACAAAGCTCCCGTGTTTAGACGCAGAAAAAAAGGGGCTTCTCTCCCGGAGACCCGAAGTCTGAAGGGAAATTCTGTCTCACAACTTGTCAGAAAGAACAAGGGTCGATCTTTAAATGCTTCTATTCCTACCGGAACGCTTCCCCTCGGTTTGTTTGTTTGCTTTTGCGTTAGCGTTGTTGCTTTTGCTTGTTTGTGTGTTTGAGTTGATGGGATTGCAAACAACCCCTAGTGTGTCCCTGTCCGGTTTTGTGTTTTATGCCTCGGTTCTTGGCGGGGGGGGGGCGCTTTACTGGTAGCCGGTTAACAGCTGGAGATGGAGTCGTGTTGAGTTTGTGAGAAACAAGCTCTAACTATTTCTGCCAGGGGGGATTTCAGCTAAGTGTGACAAGGCGGTTCTCTATTTGTATTTGGCCTTCTTATTTAGTTGATCTGAACTAATAGAAGCTGCTGATGCTTTTATACTGCTGGTGATCCCGATGCTTTCATTGTTTTCTCATTCCGACTCCACTCTGCACTAGGGTTGTCACGATACTAAAATTTTCAACTCGATACCGATACTCAGGAAAATACTCGATACTTGATACCATTTTCGATACCACGGGGGTGGGGGCGGTGGTATCGACACTTTTTAAAATGAGTATCGTATCCGGATACAACATTTTAGTATCGATACTTAAAAAAGTAAAAGAGTAGGGTTGTCAAAAGTATCGATACTTAAAAAAGTATCGATACTTTTGACAACCCTACTCTGCACTGCACGCCAGTTTTCTTTACGTTGGAGCTTTGCAAACTCCTAAATTTGTCATGGAACGTTTGAACAAATCACAAATGACCACGTATAGAAGTTGTGAGGTGATGGAATAAATTCCTACTCCAACACTGTATTTGAGGTCAGCCATTGATAACAGCGTTAACACAGCAAAAACTACGATTTTAAAGAAAAAATCTCATCTCAAGATGAAAGATTCCCAAGTACTGAGTTTGTGTCTTCTCCATGGAGGTCCTCTTAACCCCCAATAAGTAGGGACAACGTCTTATATGCCGCAGAGGCCCCAGACCTCCCACCCACCAAAGGTCAGGACCTTCTGGCTCTAATTGGACTTTTATAGACCTTGTTTACACTAGCTGGGTGACTTTTGGTGTGACTGGGAGCTGCTACTCCATGCTTTCTCCCTTCTTAAAAACCCCCTGAAATGATGAGGTGAAAGCGACAAACATTTAAAGCTAGCCCAACTGCTAAGTCTTTGTTAGAAGACGAGATCTTAAAATCTGGAGCCGGTTGATCTCTTTCAGAGTTTTTTTTTTTCCGGTGCTGTTTTCCTCGAAGTCTAAAACACTCGGTGAGGGCTTTAAAAAGACATCTGAGTGCTCCTGCCTCTTGGATTGTGAGTGTGGAGCAGCTGATTGTGTGTTGTTTGTCCAGCTGTTGTGCGTTTTTTTAGTCTGTTGTCAGGGAGGCTCGCGGCCAGGAGCCGGGATTTTAAAGTTCCGGCCTGACTGATTACAGCCCCCCCCCCCGCTCCCGTCTGCTTTCCAAAGGAGGGCAACAGGTGAAGCACCTGTGGCTCCGGCAGGTCTCCGTTTCTACAGAATTTACTCAAAGTGACCCCCCCGGGGTGTTTTCTTAAATAGTTAGCATTACGCGAACGGCTCGTATAGCTCAATGCTGATGAAATCCGGCTTGAATGCGTGTTTTTATTTCGGTCAAATTTAGCAAGACTCCGATGGTGTTTGATAAGGTGCCTGAGTAGGCCTAAGCAGGACGCCCCCGGGATGAAGGCAGGAGCTCGCATCACAGATGCCGAGCTGTCAAGGGGCTGCAGTTTCTCGGCGCTAAATG